AATTGTTGCTTTTATAAAATTCGGGACACTAAGTTGAAATCCAATACTGTTCCGGCCAAACTGGAACGTATGGTCACCTTAGTTATAAATGCACATCAGAAAGATGCAGTTATGATCACTTTTTTTCGACATTTGTGCGTTTTATAGGTTAGGTTTTATATCTAAAACGCCTGACTGCACAGCAAATGGATCACATTTTGACAGTTTTTACTACAACTTCATATAAAGAAAGCCGCGTAACATAGCGATGCCATAACAACGCCATATTATTTTTTATTTTATTATTAGTTATGAGAACTATTGATTATAATTGGTGTTTGTATACGACAGCGGTTTCCAACCTTTTTTTCCTTGCGCCCCCCTTTCGAATGAAAAAAATATTGCGCCCCCCCCCTTTTTATTTTTCTAACAATTTAATTTAAATATACTTAATATCACTGAAATTATACCAAATAATACACAGTATTATAAAAAATATACATACACTATTTATTATAAGAAACATAACTATTTATTATAAGAATTTTCTGTTTCACATAAGTAAGATCTCACAAATGGTAATAAAATTTCTAAAACATTATTTGTCAAAGTAGGAAAATCGTCCTTTACTGGTAACCAAAACTCAACAATATATTTTCGTCCTGAAACATCTGCTTCAATGTGTTATCACTAGATAAATCAATTATCATTTTCTGCTCTGCTGTTGAATGACCAAAATCATCATGTTTCTCAATGACAAATGGATTTCTAAATTAGATAAAGTAATGCGAAAATTGGTTTCGTTGACTAGTCATATGACTGATATAATAATAAGATCTTTACTTACTTCTATTTCATCAGTAACACAAGTAATTTTAAAAGTGGGAAACATGTTAAAGTTATAAAGTTATTTGATACTAGCTATACACAGTTCTAATTTTTTTCTTAAAAGCCGTAATCTTGTCTTTCTGAACAAAAGCACGAATTTGAGATCCTTGCATTGATTTATTTAAATCGCTAAGTCATCGAAAAATATCAACTAAACACGCAAATTTTGCGATGAACTTTGTGTCCTAAAACAAGATTGCTCCGTCTTTTTTGTTATCAGCAAGAAATATAGCAATTTCTTTTTTGAGCTTAAACACTCTTAGAAGCACTTTAAGTATTTTGCTGATTTGTTTTTGACACTTACTCAGCATTTAAAAATAATATTTTTAAAACAGCTTTGCGCCCCCCTTGGAACGGTATGGCGCCCCCCCAGGGGGGCGCGCCCCACAGGTTGGAAATCACTGGTATACGAACAAACTAATTTCATAACAAGCATGGTGAAGATAAGTCTTTAGAACCAGCACCAATTATACCAATCGATTGGACTATGTCTATTCATTTTTTTTTTTTTTTTTTTTTTTTTTTTATTTATTTTACATGGCTGTGGATCTTGCGATCATTACGCCAGTTATAATTTTACATTATTGAGTATTTATACAGTAATTTTACTATTATCTATAAAACTATATACAATTTTATATAAATCTACATTATTACTAGATATTAATACTTGTGTGTTTACTGGAAATATAATATTTTTTTTTTGCAGTTTCTGATACATATTTCTTCTTGGATTCTCATACATTCTGCATTCCCAGAACATATGATCTATTGTCTCCGGTTCGTCACCACATTGGCATATATAATCTTGGATTATTCCCAACCTCCAGAGATGAATCTTGCACATTGTATGCCCCAGCCTTAATCTTGTAATTGTTGATACGAATTTCCTACTGCTTGTATCATTTTTGAACCAGGTTGTTTGAGATACCTTTTCTTTTGACAGGGCATAAATTATACCCTTGCTTTTTGTTGACGTTGAGAAGTCTTTTTGCCACACATCTATGCTCCGCTCTTTGATTAAATTTTTCAGCTCCAACGCAGGTATTTTTTCACATTGTACTCCAATTTGACCAGCTTCTTTTGCAAGAGTATCAGCAATCTCATTTCCTGTGATACCTGAATGTCCCCTGATCCACGTCAATATTAAAGAATTTATGCCATTATTTATTGCATTCATTTTATTTATAATTTCTATTATCATGTTATTTGATCTTCTATTTGGGTTCGCTATCGCTGATATACATGCTTTGCTGTCACTAAATATAATTGTTTTCGTGATGTTTTTCTCCCACGCATAATTTACAGCACAGTATATAGCCACCATTTCTGCTGTGTAATTAGACGCATAATTTGGTAGCTTAATTCTCTTACTAAAATTGTGATATGGCACAAATATAGCGCAACCACAACTGTACCCTGCTTTAGATCCGTCTGTGTAAATGTGTACATATCCTGGCCATCTTCTAGCCACATTATTTTGAAATTCTTTATTTTTTGCGGTATCATTCAAATGTGTCAAGTGAGTTAAATCCATATCCATTACTATGCAATATTTTGTTGATGTGTATTCATTCGTAAGATGATAAATTGGCAACTTTTTATTCATTATTACATCCTCTTCGTATGGTTTCAGCTCATAAAAGCTATTTATCAAGGGTGGGATTGGTCTATTTCTCCAATATATATTGGTAAAATGTAGCCTCGCTAATACTTCTAATTGTTTCGGTATATCATCACATGCTCCATTATATTTTTTTATTAAGAATCTATTTGATAGGATCTGCTTTCTAATGCTTAGTGGAGGTTCACCTGCTTCAGCTATTAATGCATTCGTTGGAGTTGATCGAAATGCCCCCAAACATGTTCTTATCGCCGAGTATTGAATCCTGTCCAACTTTTTTTGGATATTCGTTGAGAGTGCTCCATATATAAAGTAACCATAATCTATTTGTGATCTTATTAAGCTTCTATATATATTGAGACAAGTTTCTGGGTGAGCCCCCCATTTCATGCTTGTTATTTTTCTGAGAACATTTAATCCTTTTTCACATTTGCTTAATATATCATCTACATGCTTTTTAAAATTCATTTTCTTATCCAAATTGATGCCCAGAACTTTAATATTTTCTTTTATTTGTATCTCCTGACATCCTATCCTTATTTGTCTCCTAGTATGTTCTTTTCTGTGTCTGGTAAAGATAGCTGCAGAAAACTTATCCTGTGATAAATTCAGGTTATTGTCCAATAACCATCTTCTGCTCTCCTCGATAGCATTGCTCATCGATGAAATACATCTATCCATAGTTGGACAAGATACATACAGATAAATGTCGTCTGCATATTGCAATTTTTTAACATTCGGTTCTGTTACTACTTTAAAATCTGCCATGTATATATTAAACAAGATTGGGCTCAATATTGAACCCTGAGTGAGACCTTTGTTCATAACTCTAGGGCCAATTAGACCTGAGTCGGTTCGAATATATAATTGTCTAAAAGATAGTAAATTAATTATCACATTAATTAATTTGTGTGGTAAATTTAAATGTTTTAATTTTTTCTCCAGTATATTGTGATCTACATTGTCATACGCCTTTTCTATGTCCATCGAGATTACCAACATATATTGATTATACGAATTGGATATATGTATATCATTTGTTAATTTGCTCAGTAAGTCCAACGTACTTTTCCCTCTCCGGAAACCAAACATAGAATTATTTAAAACTTCTTTATTTTCAATATATCTATCTATTCTCTCTTTTACAATTCTTTCAAAAGTTTTAGCGATGCATGATATTAAGGAAATGGGTCGATATGAGTCTATTTCCAAGGGTCTTCTGTGTGGCTTCATACATGGAACTATTATAATTTTCCTCCACTCTTCGGGAATCCAATTATTTGCTATGATTTGGTTGAATACAGTTAGTAATTCAATTTTCATTTCCGTAGGCCAATTTTTTATCATCGTGTACGGTATATTGTCATATCCAGGAGCCGTATTTTTCCTCTTTTTTAATGCATCCTCTAATTCCTCTAATTTGAAATTCCTTGTCAGTGCGCTTTCTTCACAATATACTCCTATATTTTCTTTACGATTGTCCGAAACAAAGTCTGGTGCATAATTTTGTAATAGTAATTGCCCAAATTCTTTTTTAATTTTTTGTGTTGTGTTTATAATGTTATTTTTATTTTTAAAAAGTCTAATTTTGTTCCAAATTACTGCGGGACTCATGTCCTGATTGATGGAATTAATGAAATTCAACCAACTTTCTTTTTTCTTGTTTTTCAAAAACTTTTTAGTGCGTGCATTGATTTTTTGGTATTGTATGAAGTTTTCGTAATTACAATGCTGACGCATCTTTTTATATGTTGTTCTTCGATCTGAAATGGCTTTTTCGCAATCTTGATCCCACCATATCGCTGGCTTAAAAATCGGTCTCTTAATTTCTTTATATTGTTTTATATTTTTCTCTGCAGATTTTTCGGTAATCTGTATGATACGTTTATATCTCGCTGTTATATCGTCTGAGATTTGTCCTGTTTGGATATATTGCATAATATCTCGGGAGTATCCCTGCCAGTTAGCAAATTTTATATTCCACTTTTTTGTAGGGCGCGTTCTTATGACCAAAGGCACCTTTATCTCCAAAGTTATTGTTATAGGCAAATGATCCGATCCCAATACCTCTTGGCATACATCCCATTTAATAGTATCTATAAAATTTCCTGAGCACAGTGTTAGATCTATGTTCGTAGCACTCCTGTATTTATTTGCTACTGTAGTTGGACGTCCGTCATTAAGAATTAGTATTGCGTTGTCCTCTATGATTTCATATAACATATTACCTTCCCTGCTATTGTATTTGCTTCCCCATGCCATATGATGACAATTAAAATCGCCAGTAATTAAAAAGCTCATGTTGATTGTTGAGATAGTGTCCTTGATATCTGAAAAATCTAATTCTGTTCTAGTAGAGCAATATACTGAGAGAATGCAAAATGGAGTATCTGTTTTAATTATGGCGGCGCATATTTGTATATTCTCATTATTGTTGACTGAAGGAAATTCCTCACAATTTATGTCATTTCTAACAATGGTTGCTGCTCCTCCATATCCATCTTCCCTGTCTTTGCGAAACATTCGATATCCTCTGAAAGAGTATTGATATTCCGGTTTAAACCATGTTTCAGTGAAAGCCGCGATTGAAATTTCATTTTCATAAAGGAAATGTTCAATACTGGCCTTATTAGCTGTAACAGATCTGCAATTAATTTGTAGTATTTTTATTTTTCCAGTCATTTATTTGTCATATATTATTTTTGTCATCTATCCATATCTTTAATTAACTCTTTCAGAATTTTTAATGTGTAATCTTTTTTCTTTGATATGTTAATAATTAATTCTTCGATTAATTTATCGAATGGAATTTCACCTTTCTCACTATTGATATGTGAGGAAGATTTTGGTTTTGTGTTAATATTGTATTTAAATTTGTACCTGTTTCGCTCCTGTGTACTGGACATATTTTCGATTGTTTTGTTGTTGTCACCATAATTTGTTACGTTTATGGAATTGCTATTCCTATATGTCTGTTTAGATATTGTTGTTGAAGGCTTCGTGGTTACAAGCTGTTGATTTATTTCTGCATGTTTTTCCTGCTGCGTATTGGGCAATTCAGGAAATTTCACTTTGTTTCTGATTTCTATGTCCGGATTTATGACGTTGGCATATGTTCTATTGTTTATAAATGCCCTGGCTTCTCTGAAACTTATGTTATTTTCGTTCATTATATTTTTAATTTTCATATGAAACAAATATTTTTCACACTTTTTATCTATAGCTTGATGCTCCCCATTGCATAACGCACAAATCGGATTCTTATCTTTATTTACACAATCCTTGAAACTGTGTTCTTGTGCACAATAGCTGCACCTCGCTTTACCTTTACACTGGCTAGTCACGTGGCCCATTCCTTGGCATTTAAAACATTGTGTCACTTTGTTGTAAATTTCGACCCTGCATTTGACAGCGTATATCGAAACACGGTCAGGTAAACGTTGACCTCTGAACGTTATTACGCATACCCTTGTTGGTACTAATGCATTGTCTTGTTTTTTTTTTATTCTTCTAATATCTAAAACAGGAATTTCTGATTTTATATTTTCCATAATATCTGATTCAGTCATATCGGTGTCGACGTCATATATAACGCCCTTCCTAATCAACATAGAAATAGGTATATATGCTTTTAATTTCTTTTCCATAAATAATTTCTCATTAATTATTTTATTTGCAGCGTCATATGTATTAAACGTAATTTTAATTCTGTTAATGCCTATGGATTTTATTTCTATAATATCGTTTTTATATTGAGGTAAACTGCTAAATAATATTCTGCCTACTGCCATTTGATGTACTGTATTTTTATCTACTGATTCAACATATATGGTAAATGGACCCATATCATTCTCGGAATACTTCATTGATTTGTAATTATCGCCTTTTATACTTGAGTTCATATCCTGATTTTTATCATTATTTTCATTTTTACTTACATTTTGATCATTATTATTTTCGCCTTCTTCCATTTCTTCTGCCCAATTTTGTGTATTATTTTTTTTATTACCTTCACTATCATTAACTGTTTTATTGTTTGATTGTTGTTTTATTGCATTTTTTAACATTTCATGATTTATTTTTTTAATTGCCTTACTTTTACTATTTATTTCTTTTTTATTCACTTTAGTTAAATCACTTTCCATTTTATTAATTTTGCTAATAGCATTTTTTAACGTTTCCGATGTTAATAATCTACTCGTATCACCTGCTACACTTATACCGATTTTATACACACTGTCTATGTCGTCCGACTGGGCATCGGCTTCGCCGTATGGCCCTGATTCCATTATGTAATTTTAGACGAATTAAATTTGTTTTCGATTATTCCACGATCTGTACGCTTCGAGAGCTCAATACCGAATGTCTATTCATTTGTATTTGCATATATTTGGATTTGAAGTTATTAGTAGAAAAAAGAAATGTGGAGCAAACTTACCTATTGTACTTTTTAAATGTAATAGTTTTGAATAGTTTTCTTGACTTCATATAAAAATATTCGAGAAAATTTTCTCATATAGTTGTTTTTTTATATAAAATGTACATTTATTTCATTTATTTTATAAAAACAAGTATTTGAACTTTCATAAACTTTATCTTCATTATTACTGTAAATCTTGTTAATATTAGGTTTGTGGCAAAAATAATATAAAAACCGTAAACAATAAATTTTAGGACAGCACAACAATAATGAAAATTTATAATGTAAATAGTAAAGAAATATTGAATTAAAGAGTTCAAATAAAGATATGATAAGTATAAAATATTCAATGCGTTAAATGTTAAAATGCCGGTTAATATATATAAAGTCTAAGGTGAGCTCACAATCAAAAGTATTCGACGATTCTTATCAACGCTCGTTTACCCGGGACGTCCCTATCACCCTGTTCACATTCATAACAGAAAAAAGAATGTAAATACTACGTCAATATTTTATACATATTTTAATATATATTTTACATATTATTTACCGGCATTTGAAGACAATAAAATTCTTGCTTTTGAATAATAAATCTAACTGGCGGGGTGTATGACATCGTGCCTTAAGGCAAATTGCTGGAACTTCCCGTATCGTAACGAAATGTTCGAGGAATATTGAATGTTTTCAAATACATTATTATAAATATTGTAACATTGTCTAATATTTATAAGAATTATGTAAACTGAATTGCAAAGTTGAAATTATTTGTTTGAAGTATATTAGAACTATAGTCAAATACAAAAATCAAATCGAAATACAAAATTTTCGATATACAAAAAGAAATTTTTTTTGAAAAAAAAATGAAAAAAAAAGTTGAAACAAATTTTTTTTCCAAAATCAATTATTTTAAGACAAGGAGAAAGCTTTTGAATCACTTAAATTGGACGCTTTGTTCTCTCAAATACTGCCATTTTTTGCACATTTAGCTCCGTATCTTTGAAATGGCTGGGCCTGCCTTTGCCAAAAACCCCTAAACACTTCTCCTAATCAATACTAATTGAATGTTTTTTAGATCATTCATATCGGATGCTCCTTTCTCTCAAAAACTCGATTTCTATTTTTTGCACTCTTTGCTCCTTATCACCGTAACTGCTGGACCTGCATTTGCCAAAAACTAATCAGCATATCTTCTTATCAATAGCAATGAAATGTTTTTTGAACCATTCAAATCGGTTGATCCGTGCGCCCGAAAACGTGACTCGAAAATTGTATCCATACATACATACACCCACACATCCATTTTTTCTGAGCTATGCCAAAATCTTCAGAAACCTTCAAAACGTCGAGAAATGTAAAAATTTTCAATTTTGATTTTTGGACGATTACGATAACTTACCCTACGGGAAATTTTCAAATTAAAAAAAAAAATCAATTTTTTCAATTTTTTGGGGAATTTAGAATTTTTTGAAAATGTCCGATTCTTTTGAAAATTTCGAAATATTTACAATTTTTTGTAAATAATCGTTTTTTTTTTAATTTTGATGTTTCGAAATTTTTCGAAATTTAGATATTTTATTCAAAATAATAAAAAATTTCAAAAATTTGAGTTAATGAAAATTAAATTTTTATTTTGAAAATTTTAATTTTTTTTTTTTGAAAATTTTTAAAACTACGCAATTTTTTGTAAAACCATTTTTTTCACACCGTCTACACAAGCGAAAGGTTTTTTGAATTAATCTAATCGGATGATCCGTTCTCTCAAAAACTGCATGACCATTTTTACACCCTTTGCGCTCCATACCTGCGGAACGGCAGGATGTGCTTTTTGCAAAAATGCCCCGTGATCGAGTACAGAATGTTTGTTCAATAATACATATCGGTTATTCCATACTGTCGAAAATGTCGATGACATTTGTTTGAACCGTATACATAATAACTTCAAAATTAACTAGTTGGTTTGGTATTTAGCCTTGAGGCAAGTTACATGAACTTCCCGATATGTGTAAATAATCGACTTAATCAAAAAAATGTGTAAATAATATACTTTATCAATCCTACTTTAAAAAAAAACGATAATAATTTTAGCAAAGTTTGACGAATTTTTTAAATTAAACTACTTGTCGTAAGGCCGTAATATTACAGTAAGTTCTATAAGACCATGATGTATATCGCCAAAAAAAGTTCCATGAAAATCGGCTTTAATTTTTTTTTCAACAGTTAATTACAAGAAAACGGCTCGGTAGATTTTCACCTAAAATTAATCAGTACCAGTCCCAACTAATATCTTTCGAACAGTTTTTGATTTTTTAAAATCGGTTCGATAGGATGAGCTTAAATGTGGACGAAAATTTAACACTTTTTTTCAACAATTAATTACAAGAAAACGGCTCGGTAGATTTTCACCTAAAACTAATCAGTACCAGTCCCAACTAATATCTTTCGAACAGTTTTTGATTTTTTAAAATCGGTTCGGTAAGATGAGCTTAAATGTGGACGAAAATTTAACACTTTTTTTCAACAATTAATTACAAGAAAACGGCTCGGTAGATTTTCACCTAAAACTAATCAGTACCAGTCCCAACTAATATTTTTCGAACAGTTTTTGATTTTTTAAAATCGGTTCGGTAGGATGAACTTAAATGTGGACGAAAAGTTTAACACTTTTTTTCAACAGTTAATTACAAGAAAACGGCTCGGTAGATTTTCACCTAAAACTAATCAGTATCATTCTCAACTAATATCTTTCGAACAGTTTTTGATTTTTTAAAATCGGTTCGGTAGGATGAGCTTAAATGTGGACGAAAAGTTTAACACTTTTTTTCAAATTGCAAAGAAACGGCTTGGCAGATCGTCACACAAAACTGACAAACGATAGTCCTCACCGAAATACATCAAATAGCTTTTAAATTTCTAAAATCGGCTCAGGCGTTTTTGAGAAAACGTCGACCATAGGTCTAACTTTGACAAATGCCAAAAAAACAATACCAATTTTTGCAAACTTTAACGAATTTTTAAAGCTGAACCAGTTGTCGTAGGGCCGTAATATTTTAGTATGATATAGAAGACTATGGTATCTACCGTCAAAAAAATAATCATAAAAATCGTCGAATTTTTTTTTTTTAAACTTTATTACAAGAAAACGGCCCGGCCGATCTCTACCAAAAACTAATCAGCACGATTCCCAACCAATATCTTTCGAACGATTTTTGAATTTTCAAAATCGATTCATAACTGCGAGCTAAAACGTGGACGAAAGACTTTTCACTTCTCTGCTATTTACGAAGAAACGGTTTGGTTGATCGTCGTACAAAACTGACAAACAATAGTCCTCATCGAGATACATCGAATGGCTTTTAAATTTTTCAAATCGGTCCAGCCGTTTTTGAGAAAACCGCGATTTACGGCAAAAAATCTGTTGGTGCACACGCACTCACACACACACACATACTTTTTCCAAATTTGATCTCATTCGATTCAGAATGGCTTGAAACATCGAGAAAACATAAAATTAGCGAATCGGATTTTTTGATGAAAACATAAACTTCTCTTTCGGGAAGTTAAAAATATTGGTACGGAACCCCAAAAAATTGACACAAAATATGTACACATTAATAAAATCTCTATAAAATATCTGATAATTTGATGTACATATGTCAAACATTTTACCGCCAAATTACATTTTTTTAAAGAAAAACTATTGAGAGTCTATAACTGTTAGACTTGCCTTTTCAAAAATTTTAATAGTTCTTCGTTTAATCAATACACATAAAATATTTCTTGAATTACTCAAATCAGACGTTCTCTCAAAAACTGGATCACAATTTTTGTTTTTTTTGCCCCGTATCTTTGAAACGGCTTGACCTGCATATGCCAAAAACTAATCAGCACGTTTTCTTATCAATACAAATCGAATGTTTTTTAAATTATTCAAATTAGTTATTCCATACTGTCGAAAATGTCGAGGACATTTATTTGAACCATATACGTGAAATTTAAAATTGAAAATCTTGGTACGGAACCCAAAAAAAATTACACAAAATGTGTACATATTATTAAAATTTCCATAAAATATCTGATAATTTGATGTACATATGTCAAATGAACATTTTAGACCGCCAAATGGTATTTTTTTAACTTATTTTTATTGAGGGTCTATAACCGCTAGACCTGCCTTTACAAAAATTTAATCAGCTATTTATCTTGTCAATACAAGTAAAATGTTTTATTAATTTTTAAAATCGGACGCTCCGTTCTCTCAAAAACTGAACTACAATTTTTGGTTCTTTTTGCCACATAACTTCGAAACGGCTTGACCTGCATATGCCAAAAACTAATCAACACGCCTCCTTATCAATACAAATCGAATGTTTTTTGAATTATTCAAATCGGTTGATCGGTGTTCCCAAAATCGTCGACGAAAATTTGTATCCGCACACACACACATCAAAATTTTCTCACGTCAGAAATTAGAATGAATGAATCAATGAATTAAATAATTTAAACACAGCGTTATGCCCGGGTTTATCAGATATAGCCCAAAAGCCGCTGACCAGCTCATGCGACGGTATGACTAGTAAAGTAGAACCAATGGCTGAACTGTCACATATAATTTTAGAAAACGTCATTTTACAATGGAATGAGTCATTGAAGAGCCTTGAGAATCTGATAAATGAACTGCGTATGATTGTCAAATCAAAGTCAAACACACATAAAGAAGTGAAGATGAAAACAGGCAACATAGCGGCTGTAATTAAAAGATTTATTGATTTAGACAACCAATTGATAGAGGAAAAAGGCCGAACCACGGAAGATACGAAAGTAATAATAAATAAAGTGCAATGTTGTGAAATAGCCCCTATAGAAGAAAGTGTACGGCAGGACACAAGCGAAGCCACAAGAAACCGAAACTCACAACATATAAGCAATAA